CCCCCCGTCCCTATATCTCATCCTCTCCCCTCCCTTTCCACCTCTCTCCCTTCCCTCTTTCCCCCTTCTGTCCCTCCCCCTCTGTTCCCCCACACTCTCTCTCCCCACTTCTGACCCTCCTTCTCTCTCACACACCCTCCCTTCCTCTCTCTCTCTCTTTCCCCACCGTCCTTTCCCCCCCAAACCCCCACTCTCTGTCGGCCCACCTGGGCCTCTGCCGCTCACCGTTACAAAGCCTGCAGCCGAGCTCAGTTCCTCGGCCCCTCGGCCCCAGGCTCGGCCAAGTTTCCCGTCCTGGGTGCGGACGTAACGCTGGCTGTGTTGGGAGCCGTAACGCTCAGAGCAGACGATGTCCATTTCCCCTCTATCCATGGTGGCCTGAAAGCGGGGGGAGGAGTCGGGGGGCTCTGTCAGGAATGGGGAAGGTGGGGGGTGGAGAGGGCTGCTGGGAGCCGAGGTTAGGGGGGGCAGAGGGACGAGAAGGAGAGACACGAGGTTAACAGCCTCGGCTGCAGGAGGACGGGACAGCCCGGGGATGGGGATGGGGGTGCGGGGCAGCTGTTACATCAGCATAACACAGCAGACATCTGTATGTCCCCGCTTCCCCTCCTCCGTGTGAGGTACATAATCCATATGTCCCCGCTTCCCTTCCTCCGTGTGAGGTATATAATCCACATGTCCCCGCTTCCCCTCCACTGTGTGAGGTACATAATCCATACATCCCCACTTCCCCTCCCAGTGCAAGGTATGTAAGCCATACATCCCCGCTTCCCCTCCCAGTGCGAGGTATGTAATCCATATGTCCCCGCTTCCCTTCCCAGTGCGTGGTATATATTCCATATGCCCCCGCTTCCCCTCCCAGTGCGTGGTGTATAATCTACATGCCCCCATTTCCCTGCCTCTGTATGAAATATATAATCCTTTTGTCACTGATTTCTCTCAGTGTGAGGTACACAATCCATATGTCCCTGATTCCCTCCTGTGTGAGGTATATAATGCATATCTCCCTGCTTCCCCTCTCTGTTCAAGGTATATAATCCACGTGTCCACGTGAGGCATATAATGTCCTCTGTGAGAGGCATATAATCCATATGTCCCTGATTCTTCTCCCCATGTGAGGTACATAATGTGTATGTCGCTGATTCCCTGCCAAGTGTGATGTAATATAATCCATTCAATTCTGATTCCCCGCCTCTAAATGAGGTGTATAATCTATATGTCTGAACCTTCCCTCCTTGTGTGAGGTATATAATCCATATGTCTCCAACTGTCCTCTCATTCAGGGTATTTTATCCATGTGCCTCAGCTTCCCCTTCCTGTGATGGATATAATCCCATGTCTCAGATTCCCTTCCCTATGTGATGTATACAATCCATCCACCTGAGATACCTATGTAAATGTATGTAACTCTTACATCTATGTTCCCCCTCCCTGCGCAAACACATACAGTCATACAGCACGGCAGCAGACCCTTCGGCCCAATCAGTCCGTCCCGACCCTAATCCCAAATTTAACCAGTCTCACACCTGCCTGCTCCTGGCCCATATCCCTCCAAACCTTTCCTATTCACATACTTATCCAAATGTTGTAACTGTACCCACATCCAACACTTCCTCAGGAAGCTCATTCCACATGAGAACCACACCCACAGGTAAAAAAAAAAGTTGCCCCCCTCCCTTCTCTCACCTTAAAAATGTGCCCCTAGTCTTGAAATGCCCCCTTCTTAGGGAAAATAATCCTTGCTATTCACCTTATCTATACCTCTCATGATTTTATAAACCTCTATAAGGTCACTCCTCAACCTCTTACGCTCCAGAGAAAAAAGTCCCAGCCTCTCCTCATTACTCAAACCCTCCCTACCCGGCAACATCCTGGTAAATCTCTCCCGAACCCCTCTCCAGTTTAATAACATCCTTCCTACAACAGAACTGGGACACAGTTGCTCCAGAAAGGGCCTCACCAACGTCCCTGTACAACCTCAACGTGACGTCCCCGACTCCTACACTCAAAGGTCAGAGCGATGAAGGCGAGCGCGCCAAACACCTTCTTCGCCCCTCTGTGACGCAAATGTCAAAGAATTATGTCCCTGAGCACCCCCCAGGTTTCTCTGTTCTACAACGCTACCCTGGGCCCTACCACTAATGCTATAAGTCCTGCCCTTGTTTGTTTGATCGAAATGCAACACCTCGCATTTATCCAAATTGAACTCCATCTGTTTTTATTCTAGACGTTTGCTAAATAAAAATGTATCCATCTTAGATTTCACTGTAAGAACTGGCCATGCATCCACTGTAGTTTGTGGAAGAGGGATCCAAACACCGCCCACCCTTTGTGTATCCTAACATCTCCCCCGCATGCTCTGGCCCTCACTGTCAGTCTGTGCTCGCTCGCTCTAGAATCTCCAGCGAGTGTGATCCATAGGTCTCTGTTCCCCATCCCACTGTGATGTATATACTCCATATGTCTCAGCTCCACCCCCCACCGGTGTGATGTATAAACTCCATATGTCTCAGCTCCCCCCCCCCCCCGGTGTGATGTATGTACCCCATATGTTTCAGATCCCCCCCCCCTCCCGGTGTGATGTATATACTCCATATGACTCAGTGCCCCCCCC